TCACAAGATCAGGAGATCAAGACCATCCCGGCTAACACGGTGAAACCCCGTCTCTACTAAAAATACAAAAATTAGCTGGGCGAGGTGGCGGGCGCCTGTAGTCCCAGCTACTTGGGAGGCTGAGGCAGGAGAATGGCGTGAACCCCGGCGAGGCGCGAGAATTTGGGCAGGTGAGTGGAGATTCAGGCCACTCTGCGCTCCCACAAAGCCTGGGTGAACCCAGAGCGAAGACTTCGGTCTCAAAAAAAAAAAATAAAAAATATATAATAGTATATATACCTATATATACTATAAGACATTCTCTTCTGGAAATTTACAATTAAAAAAAAAACAACATGATTCTTTAGTGAGTACTTATCCAGGCACTGTTTAATTTATACTCAACATGGAGCCTCTCAGTCAATTATCACATAAGGTAGAAGCTACCATAGCTTCATTTTATGAATGAGGAAACTGAGGTGTAGACAGGTTGAGCAGCTCGCTCAAGGACACAGCAGAGCCAAGATTCAGACCTGGATATCCAGATGCTGAGACTTTTGCTCTTATCTGATGCACTGTTCCCTTCATCTCCTTTAATTAAAAATTCTAAGACTTTTGCCAGTCAGTTCATCAAATTCCCGTCAGTACGTATTTGAACACAGCGCAATCTGTAAGTTGGTGTAAAAGCAGTCATTGACTGGCAAGAATTCTAAGGGTAATCTCATCAAATTACAATGTTCCATCTTTCTGAGTAGAAATTTGGGTTAAAAGCTTTAAATTCTTAAAAGATAACACAGCCTCTAAAAAAACCCTACCACTGGTTATATTTATATCTACTTGTGTTACGATATGGAAACTTAGTTTTATAAGTAACTGCCAACCTGTCTTCCAAAGTGGCTGTATCATTTTGCAATCCCACCAGCAATGAATGAGAATTCCTGTTGCTCCTCACCCTTGGCAGCATTTGGGATTGTCATATTCTGGATTTTGGCCATTCCTATAGGTGTGTGTAATGGTATCTCATTGTTGTTTTAATTGACATTTTCCTGATGACAGATGATGTGAAGCATTTTTTCATATGCTTATTTGCTATCTACGTATCTTCTTTGATGATGTGTCTTGTCAAGCTCTTTGGCCCACTGTTCAAATGAGTTGTTTTCTTATTGTTGAGTTTTAATAGTTTAAATATAGAGAGAAATAGAGGAGGTCTGTTTACTTGAGTAATCAAGATGTATAATCATTTTAAGAACTAGTTGATAGTAAATATAAGTTATTTTCTCTAAATTTGATAATATAGAAGTCTATTTCTAATATAATAATAGTGAAATATTGTATTCTTGCAGGGAAATTTTTTCTAAAAAGCATGGCAAAGCTCTGATGATTCTATAATGGGCTCAAAGCGTTGGATTTGTTAGATGTTGATGAGTTATGATCTAACATCATCTAACATGATCAAACATGATCATCGTCATGACTCGTGATGAGAGAGAGCACAGCATAGTGGTTAAGAGTATGGATGCTGGAGTTCAAGTCCCAGTGTTGCCACTTATTATTTGTGTGACATTGGGCAAATTACTTAACCAGTCTGGCCTCAGTTTCCTAACCTGAAATATGGGGAGACCAATATTACCTACCATTGTGGACTGAATGTTTGTGTCCCCCAAAATGCATATGTTGAACCCCTAACCCCCAGTGTAGCTGTATTTGGATATGGTGGCTCTAAGAAAGTAATTAAGGTTGAATGAGGTGTTAAAGATGGAGCCCTGATCCCATAAATTAGTATCTTCAAAAGAAGAGACACCAGAGAGCTCACTCACTCTGAGGAACACAGAGGAAAGGCCAGGTGAGCACACAGTGAGAAGGCAGCTGTCTGCCACCTATGAGGAGAGCCCTCACCAGACACCAGCTCTACTATACCTTGGTCTTGAACTTCCAGTCTTGGAACTGTAAGAAAATAAATGATTGTCGTTTAAGCCACCTAGTCCATGGTGTTTTGTTATGGCAGCCCAAGCTGACTAAGATACCTGCCTTGTAGGGCTGTTGAAGGATGAAATGAGTCGATACACATGAAGAGCTTTGCACAGTGTCTGGCACATGGGAAGCACTGTATAAGGGTTAGCTGGAATTGCTGACCTCAGATCTGTGGATCTGGGGTTTGAGAATTGGTGATGTTCTGCAAAAGTGTGACATACATAATTGTACTGAGTTTTGAAAAACATATTTGAATAACTAATTTTAAATTAATTAAGTGGGAAGACATTTTCATTCTAAAGTCAACCCAGTTGGATGAGAATAAACATACCAATCTAGGTTAGGGCCAATATCTCATGCCTTCCTCCTTTCCTCCACTTCTCCTTGGTCCCCTCTTCCCTCTACATAACCTCTAACCAACAATAAGCAAGTTATAATGGGTCTCTGAGGAAAGAGAAGACAGAACAGGAAATGTCTGCATAGATAGAGGAAGCCTGTAAAACACAGATGATGGTTGTAATTTTAGGAGTTCAAATATAAATGGCATCAAAGTTGAACTCTAATTTTAAAATAGTAGAGGCTGAAATGCTTAAATGTTAGTCTTTAAATGATTATTTTTTCCTTTTATTGTATTTGATTTGTACATATTTGGATCTTTAAATCTTTGGATAACTATCATAAAAGTCAATTTAGGATGGAAGAATTATTTTTTTGTGAAGGGTCACGGAGCCATGAACAAAGAAACAACTGCTTTAGATAATTATTAAAATATACTTCAAGTTCCAAAGTATCACCTTAAAGGGGGAAGAGGAAGAAAAGCTCAACAAGCAGGAAGAAAGAGGGAGAAACGTAAAGAAAGAGAAAGAAAAAGAAAGGGAGAAAAGAAGTAGAAAAAGAAGAGAAAAGAGGAAATAGAAGCAAGGGAATAAAAAGAACGTTATAATAAAATTTGGTTCTATAGGTTTTGAGAGGTTTTTGTCAAGGTCATTTGTAAGGTTCCTCCAGGGGAAAGGAACAACAATTTTCTGCACCTTTTAAAAATGTAGGTGAACTAATTGGTCAGCGTTTATATGGCTTCCACTGTCCACACCCTTGGAAGAACAATTTTTGGCCTGCCTGTGTGACAGATATCTTGGCCCTCCACGTTTGGAGATGTAGCACTCGGTCGAATTTTAGCAGTAAGATTTAGACTGGTGAATGACTGTCCCACTTTCTCCTTCCTCAAATACATGGATGGGGAAGACCTTCCCTGAGCTGGGGCATTCCATCTGGCCCACCCGTTGCTTGCCTGGGATTGAGACTCTGCAAGCTGCTGTCTCTACAGGGCTTTAGGTCCTGATAGAAGCCAACTGAGAGACAGTGGCATTTAGGACTATACATGTGGGCATATGATGGACACAGAGAATAACTGAGAGAGATATCTTTAGCTCCCTTCCTGTCTTCTTTAGGCTCCCATTCAGCAAGAATATACCCTTCCAGGTTTTTATAGTTTGGGAGTAGAGAATGAAATTTTTAAATTAGTTCAATCCGTATTTATTGAGCATATACTATGTTACAGGCAATGTGGATACAGATAGGCATTGCAGAAAATATCAAAGTTCCTGCCTCCTTGAGTCTGCAGTCAGGAAGGCAATAAATATCCCTTATTTGGGCAGTTTTGTACTCCTCCAATATGTGACCAAATATGGGCACATCTTCCAAAACACAGACTGACCCTTGTCCCCTTTGTGTAAATAAAGAGAGAAATCTGTGATGACCAGGAAATAAATAATCTGAAAGGCAACTGTTCATGTTCTTATTTGTAAGAAGACTTTTAAGGGGTTGGGTGTGGTGGCACATGCCTGTGATGCCAGCCCTTTGGGAGGCTGAGGCAGGAGGATTGGGAGCCCAGGTGTTCAAAACCAGCCTGGGCAACACAGTGAGACCCTGTCTCTACCGATCAGGAAAAAGCAAACAAACAAACAAACTTAAAATATCTTATTTAAAAAATAACCCTTAAACATTATTTCGCTTTAACTCAACCCTCATGCAGTCAAAGCAAAACAAAACAGAAAATTTGCTAACCTTTAAACCCAGGACAGGATCTTTTACAAGGACGGCCCTTGCAACCTCCTGGGAGAAAGTTCATTCTCTGGGTTTCGGCTATAGCAGCCTCTCTCCCTTGTTTCTTACTTAGTTCTAAGTTCCCGCACCAGTATGGCATGCTGGACCCATTGACCTCGTGGTGTGGAATCAGAAGCAAGCTCTAAAAGTGTGTTCCTTCTGGTCGTTCTGGTTGCTGTGGAGCCTTTCCATCTTCATCACCTTCTGAGCTGGCCTGAAGCGTCACCATGGCTCCTTGGTGAGGGGTTGCCTATTAATCACCCCATCTCTGCTCTTACTCACCAGCAGAGCACTGATTATGTTCAGGCATAACAACCCCCACCCCCATTCTCCTCCATCTAAGGATAATGGCAATCTCTCCCTCCTGGCCAAGTGATCCACTTAAAGAGGTGTTTGTGACTTGTTCTACAATTAAGTAAGTGGGTCAAGAGACTGGCAAAAAGGCCTGCAGGTGTTTCCTTCCCCTTAAAATGAGACTTATGAAAAGAGATACGTCTTGTGTCTGCATACTTTTTGCATTTGCATTTTGCATGGCATGATAGCAGCCACCTTGCAGCTACCTTTGAGCCAGCTGGAGGACGAAACTGATAGGCTGAGGATGGCAGGGTAGAAAGTGGGAAAGAATTTGGGCCTTTGATTATGAATCAAGCTGCTGAATTAACTGACTCTAGGACTACCCTACTCAAGATGTCTCATTATATAATACTCTGTATTTTCCTTTGCTTAAATCAGTTGAGTCAGTATCTTCCATTATGCGTGACTGGAGGCCTCCTGATTCACCTGCCTATGTCCACTAATATGGGCACCAAAGAGTCTCAGATGATGGTCATGGGTAGGTTTCTGTTTGGCTATTCTGCAATTTCAGGAAGAAAATGACAGGATAAGAAATTCATGCTGTTACTTGTTAATTAATTGTTAATTAAATTTTTATTTTGAGATAACTGTAGATTCACATGCAGTTGTAAGAAATAAGACGGAGATATCCTGTGTACGCTTCAAGCATTTTCCCCCAGTGGTAACATCTTGCAAAGCTATAGTACAGTATCACAATGTTGATTTCTACCCCTCTACCTCACTTCAGAGCATATCCATGTATATACATTTTATATTTTAGGCTTCATAAGTTCCTAGTTTAAAAACAAACAAACAAAAAAGAGCAGAACTGGTAACCTATAGTAAATACATCTTTGATATTCAAGTTATGTTACTTGGATTGAGCTTTGTACCTTTCCAAGGCACTTTCTAGTCCACTATCTCTCTTAAGGCTTAAGACAGCTCTGATTAAGTGAACAAACAGATGAACAAATGAAACAAACATCTATACAATCAGAAGTTAAGGGAGGTTCAAAATAGGCACTGCCACAGAGTAACTGTTAGAGAAGGAGTTCCATGGTACAAACTCTGCACTCTCCGTCTGGGAATGGTGGCAGAGTCCTTGAAGTGTTTTCCCTCTCTCCAGCCGGTTCCCACCAGAACTGATAATTAAATTCTTCTTGTCAAAGGACAGGATTGGTTCTGGAACAGGTGATTTCAGCATCGTGGTGAGTAGTATTGTGGAAGATGGCAAGCACTGTATAAGATGGATCCTTTTATGATCATCACCTGTCACGCAAAAAGGTTTGTTATTTTGAGATGATTTCCATGAAATCTCATGGACTCTATTGGGGGAAAATTACAAAGCAAGAATTAACAAATAAAGATAAGAGATGGGCCAAAGTTATCTGTTGGACACACCATGGGTGGACATTCCATGTCCCCTTGCTGCTCTCCTTCTTATAGGCAAGAGTGAGAACAACCTAGTGAGTGGGAGGATAATCAGACTTCTTGAGTAACATCGGTGTGGGGTTAGACACTGGCTCTATGAGTTGCCTGGGAAAGTCAACTGTTCAGCACCTGAAGGCATTGGGGTCCGTGGAAGGGAGAAACTGGTCTCATGAGCAGTTTGGGCGAACCCTTCCTGTGGGGACAAGGTTGGGGGCCTCAGGTGCCAACGGGCTTATTATCCAGGCAATGCAGGTGAGCCACCTAGGTCAATTGTTGCCAATCCTGATTGTGGCAGTGTACGTTTTATTCATCTTCAGATCCCCAGCTCTTAGCACACAGCCTGGCATACGATAGGTACATGAGCAATGTCTGATAATGTAATGATTGAATGTGCTTTTGTGCCAATTAAAAATAAGTAATTTTGGTTTTGCTCATGGAAGGACAGGAGGGCTAATAATAGACATTGGTGCCTACGTTTCTTGAATCCCTGAAAGACAGTATGCACATTCTGCCCCTACTTTGGTAAAACCTCTCTGAAGAGTCCACAACTCTATGAAGAGGCTTCCTGGTTCAAGCAATATTTTTATTGAATGTTTACTATTTCCTTGCACCACTGGCCAATAAAGTCAGTGTCTGGGATTTGTTATACTGGCACTGAGACACTCTGTAAAGGAAGGCTCTGCTGGTGACAGCAACTGTGGAATTTCCCACAACCACTCTAACAATCTTTTTGAATCTTCAGTACTTTTATTGAATTAGATATATAGTACAATGGGACACTAGCCACTCTTTGTAAATTTTTCGTAAAAACAATTTAGAAAATGATACTCCTTAAACAATTTAATTAATTAATTAATTAATTAATTTATTTATTTTTGAGATGGAGTTTTGCTCCTGTTCAGGCTGGAGTGCAATGGTGCGATCTTGGCTCACTGCAACCTCTGCCTCCTGGGTTCAAGCGATTCTCCTGCCTCAGCCTCCCAAGTAGCTGGGATTACAGGCATGCGCCATCATGCCCGGCTAATTTTTTTTTCTTTTTTTGTATTTAGTAAACACAGGGTTTCACCATGTTGGCCAAGCTGGTCTCGAACTCCTGACCTCAGGTGATCCGCCCTCCTCGGCCTCCCAGAGTGCTGGGATTATAGGCATGAGCCACCGCGCCCAGCCAACAATTTTCTTTAGGGCAGTGTTTCTTATCACTGCTGAAAAGTCCTTTTAAGACTATTTCCTCCACAGAATCCTGTTCTGAAAGATTTTGTTTATAAATACATATTACATATTTTTGTTAAATAATAATCTTCCCAAGAGGAAATCAAGGAGTCAAGAAATTTTTTTTTTAACTAAAAGTATCCTTGAGGCTGTATTTTAAGTAAACAAACAATTATCTTTAAGTTTCCTAAAACTTAAAGTTTCAGTTTCAGTAAAAACTGAAAATAACTAGAAGAATTCTCATCCTCTTTCTACCCTTGCTTCCCTCCCCACCCTCGCCCCCAGACACTGGTTATTACTTTCCTCAGCTGTTGGGATTCTGGGTATTCTAAGTTTGAAACTAGAGTTCCAGAAACACCAGGCAGATAGGATAAAATTAACAAAAGCCTGTGGATTCTCCTAGGTTTTTTGCTATCCATTTACCCTCCTTACTGTTAATGGGTCTTTTACTGTGGCAGTTATCCTTGCCTCAAAGTCTCCCAAACTAGGGAAGATTCACCCCAGCTTTTTGCTAAGATAACATCAAAAGAGGCCATAAGCAAGCTGGCACAGCCAACACCTCTCACCTTAAGGAAGTGTCTCCTGAGATGTAGAATAAGTCACTTGTCCTCTTTAAATCTCTTCACCATGGTTTTGCTTGATTCCCCCATCCTGAAGTTGCTGCTTTAAGATGGGGGGAAAAGTTCTCGAGCAAAAGCATAACAAAACAGCAAGTAACAGCAATTTTTTTTTTTAACAGAAAAAGGATTATTTTTATTACTTTCATACATTGCCACAGCACTGTTTGGGAAAGATTAGAATCAATAGGAGTTTGGAAATCTGACCTTGGCTGGTGGAAGAATAGAAAGAATCTGGTTCTTCTTAATTTCCCATTCAGGTTCTCAGTGTTCCAGGAAGCAGTTTGCTCAAGTTTTTTTTCTCCATTTAGCTCTCCTGAATGCCCGGCTTCAGTGCCTGGGCATTGCTGCCAAGGATCCCGCTGGTGCATTCAGCTGCCATTCAAGGAAACAGTCCTCCACACTGCCTCGCACTTGGAAGTTTGTCTTACAGCATAAAACAGGTGGAAGGACATTCTGCCTTTAGAGTTCTGCTGGCATGTCTTACCACTTCTGCTGTCCAATGCCAAGAATGACAAAAATCTTTTGTGTATGTTTGGGGGTGGGAAAGACCAGATATAACTGGGAACAGCAGTTAACTTGTTGTTCAGACAAGATTCCCAGGGCAGCTGTTATAACTCAGGCAGCAATAACTCTAACACTTGGCTCTGCTGCTAGGATGGATTGATAGAAACTTTGGACAAATCATCAACAAAAATTATGTTCTCATGAGACTATTGAATATACTATGGATCAATTTAAAGATAATCAAATATTCACTAGACTTACAACAAGGAAATACAATAAGCATATTAATCAACCAGGGTTGTGTTTACACTTTCATTTCTAAACATCTGCTTTCAGTGAAGTAATTAGTATCTGTTGGCAAAAATTTGAATTGACACAGGACTTGCAATCTGTAGCTACAATTGAGACAGGATTACCTTTTTATGTGCTGACACTCACAATCTTCTTTAAACTAACAATTTAGTCAACTTCATGGTGGAATTCTAAGTTCTAATTTGTGAACTTGCCAACTGTTTGTCCTTTGCCAAAGACCTTTACCCCGTGCTTAATTTTTAGTCTTGACACGTATGTGTATACACACATAAACAATCTTTTTGTATTTTTTATACAAAGAAAAAGATTATGTTACTATTCAAATGGTAGTTATTTACACTAAATTAAGTTTACACTTCAGTAGAAGATAAAAATGTGACTAATTGAAATAAATAATTCCTGGAAAGAGAATTCTCAACATAAAGTTACATGAATCTCAACACTGTCTGTTAAATCGCAAGACTTTCTAAATCTTATTAATGTGCATCGATTTAAAAAAGTAGTTCCAGCTAGGCGTGGTGGCTCACGCCTGTAATTCCAACACTTTGGGATGCCGAGGCAGGCGGATCACCTGAGGTCAGGAGATCAAGACCATCTTGGCCAACATGATAAAACCCAATCTCTACTAAAAATACAAAAATTAGCAGGATGTGGCAGCACGTACCTGTAATCCCAGCTACTCGGGAGGCTGAGGCAGAAGAATTGCTTGAACCCAGGAGGTGGAGGCTGCAGTGAGCCGAGATCTCACCACTGTATTCCAGCCTGGGCGACAGAGTGAGACTCCATCAAAAAAAAAAAAAAAAATAGTTCCTTGGTTGTGCCTTCTTCTTTTCCATTTTGTTAAACATAACCAGACCAAAATTACAATTGCCCCCATTGTAGAATGAGTTGAATGTGGGCATTATTGATACAGTTAATGATTCTGTGTCACCAGCAAAGCATAGGATTAAAATTGACCTTGGCCTAAGTTGACTTAAACATTTTAATTTGGCCATTAAATTGATGCTGGAAAGTCGGGACACACCACACGGTTAATAGCCATCTGGCCTGCCTGTCTCCTATCCTGACAACTACCTTGGCTTACCTACTGGTCTCATCTTTTCTCTCTCATCATTGCCTCCACCAGGATTCCTAAGTCAAAGCCCAGCATGGCCCTCTGCTGTTGTACTGGCCAATCTGGTCTGTCCTGCTCTACAGCTGCCAGTCTTCTTTGTCACTCCTGGTGCCTCAACAGGCCCAGCAGCCTCTGCCAGTTCTGCAGTTCACTTCCTAACTGATGCCTCAGCAACTCCTGTGGTGTCTTCTGCCATCACATTTCACTTCCATTAAGGCCCTAAATCTCTGACACATCTGCTTTCTGCCTCTCTTGACAGTTCTCAGCTCAGCTGCTGGCACTTCCATATACCCACATAAAGCCAAACCACAAGGTAAACTCATGGCCCTACCACACTGACTTTGGTTATTTCTCTGACCCCTTGGACATGGCACTGATACTTGATCTTGCTGGGACTCTTCCTTAGAGAATTTTCCCCCTTGCTACCTTGAGGTAGGGAGCACCCACCTCATTTCTGCTCTTGGAACGGACAGTGATGGGGCTGCCTCCTGCCTCCTGTTGCCTTCTCTTACCACCTCTGAGTCAGGCCAGCCCAGCAGGTTCCCTGGTTCAGATTCACTAGAATGCTTTTATTACCACCTACTTATCTGTCCTCCACAATCGCAGCCCTTTTTTTTTTTTTTTTTGACAGGTTGACAATGTTTCCTTTGCTGGGTTTTAGGTGAAAAATGCCCACAGATCAGAGTAGATGTGATTAATGTAAGTGGGGAAAATAAAACTTACTGTGGAGCAAGAGGTATGGGAAAGATCAGATGAGAGAATCTAAATGGAGATATTAGTAGGAGTAAGTAAGAATGAATAGAAGTGAAATGAAAGACTTCGGGGGGATGGGAATATGTAAGAATGAGATTGTGAATATTAAGAGATTATCCTTGATCGTGAAATCCAACCTACTCAGAACCTTGACATTTGACTGGTTACATGCCTTACACACTTAACATACTTTAACAACCCATTTTATTTAATAGATAAATGTCCTAGAAAAATTAATGAGAATAAAATTAAGGAAGGAAGTTTTCTAATTCCTTAAATATAATTAGTGAAGTCCGTGGAGGTAAGGCTGATACGTAGATCAGGAAAGAAAAAAAAAAACCTATAGCTTTAACATGAATTTTAAACATAATTTTATCATATCCCAAAGACATGATACAGTTGGTGTCTGTGAGTGCAAACATCTTGAGTAACAGTGTGCTAAAATGTTACATGCTAGGATGGTTTTTCACAAAAGTAGATTGTTTCTTTTTGAAATAAGACAGTATACCACAACTCCCCCAGCAATAAATTAGGATTATTCCCTCCGTGACAAAGAAGGGGAAATGGGTTATTCACAGGCAAATCATTATAAATAATCCATTATTCATATAAATTTATGTTTTTAGAAAGGGAATATTGGTTAAAAAAAGATATTAAATGACTGGGCAATCACCAAAATTTATTTTATAGCTCTAGCACATGTATTGTCTATATCCCTGATCACACTTTTAAATTGGCTTCAATGTAAATGATGGTTTAAAAAGAATTTTAGGCCGTCTCTTTTGAAATTGTGGACCAGGGTTGGTAACAGTGGGAGGATGAGGGAGGTGGGTTGGGTGTGGCATCCTTTGTGCTACTATAAAGCTCTCAATGTTATAAGGGACATTATATTTTTTATTACACTTAACTACTTTCCAGACCACTAATTATTTGTATCTGTGATCAGGAATTTAAAAAACCTCTACAATTCAATTGTTGTTGTTGTTTTTCTGACGAAGATTGAGGAGGTTCCCATTCCAGCAGGAGTAGCTTAAAAAAAATAAAAGCTAAAAAAATAAAAAGATTGAGGAGGATTCTGCAGCTTGCAGCTTTAGTAAAGGGCCCTATCCTTATAACAGAAGGATCCAGGAATAATTTTTAAAACTGCCAAATAATCTGCAGGTGATTCTAACACAGTATGCCTACATCAGTAGTCCTTATCATTCACCTACATAGAGAAGTTTCTACAATGTGCTCCTGAATCTCCATGGCACAGATCATGGAAGTGGATCCTATTTCACCACAAAAGCAATATCATAATCAGGGGAGGGGCCTATCAGCAAGGACTCAGAAGTAAATAAATTATAGATGTGAACAAAGTGTGCAATGTGGGCAAAATTACATGGCTATATAAGCTAAATAGTTAAATATACTCTATGTCCTGAGAAACGGGTACTCATACACGATGTACTTTTTTCACCAACATATCATAGTGAAAATTTGTTTCATACAGAAAATGAAAGCATGTGAGCTAGAATAAATTTTTGGTCTTTATAGTTTTTATTGTATGATGTCACAGATCGTTGAAAATTAGCACCAAGGACATCTGGTCCAACTGATTTATTTTATTTTATTTTATTTATTGAGACAGATTCTCACTCTGTTGCCAGGCTGGAGTGCAGTGGCATGATCCTGGCTCACTACAACTTCCGCTTCCTACGTTCGAGCGATTCTCCTGTCTCAGCCTCCTGAGTAGCTGGGATTACAGGCGCATGCCACCACGCCCGGCTAATTTTTGTAGTTTTGGTTGAGATGGGGTTTCACCATGTTGGCCAGGCTGGTCTTGATCTCCTGACCTTAGGTGATCCACCTCCCGCTCGGACTCCCAAAGTGCTGGGATTAAAGACGTTAGCCACTGAGCCCGGCCAACTGATTAATGTTATAGATGAGAAAATTGAGAGCCCAAAGAAGTTAAATAAACTGTGACAGCAGAGTCAGGACTAGACTACAGGACCACTAAATCCTAGCAACAAACCTCTCTCTCTCTCACCCTTATCTCAGCCTAACTGCTTAGTAATGCATTTACTGGTCTTCATAACATATGGAAGAACTTTTGGGTCATTACTTGAATAGCTTAGATTATTTTTATTTTGCTTTTTTTTTAAACTTATATTTTAGGTTCAGGGATACATGTGCAAGTTTGTTGTCTAGGTAGACTGTGCGTCACGGGGGGTTTTTGTACAAATAATTTTGTCACTTGGGTAATAAACATAGTACCTGATCAGTATTCTTTTGTGATTCTCTCCCTCCTCCCCACTTCCCCATCAAGTAGGCCCCAGTGTCTGTTGTTCCCTTCCTAGTATCCATGTGTTCTTATTGTTTCGCTCCCACTTATAAGTGGGAACACTGTGTATTTGGCGTTTTGTTCTGTGTTAGTTTACTTAAGATAATGGCCTCCAGCTCCATCCATGTCCTTGCAAAAGATATGATCTCATTTTTTTTTATGGCTGCATAGGATTCCGTAGTGTATATGTACCACATTTTATTTATCGAGTCTACCATTGATGGGCATTTAGGTTGATTCCGTGTCTTTGCTATTGTGAATAGTGTTGCGATGAACATAAACATACATATGTCTTTATTTTTCAAAACTATATAATAAATTCTGAAAATATGCCTTTTTTCGTAATCTGTTTCTTCATGCTAAACAGATGGGATTAAAATCATAGCTGCATTTCAGGAAATTGTCTGCAATCCTTCATTTTCTCCAGTAGATGTAAATTTTTATGTGGCCAGACTGTCCAGTGAACAAGCAAAAGTAGGGAAAACTGAGCTTCGGGTCTAAATTAAAGCGAATGAAGACTGATGGTAAATGTAGCATTACTAGATTTTAAAAAATAAATGTAGCATTTAATCTTAAAAACAAAATGTTAGGTAAAAATAGCAAATTGCAGAAGGCTATGTAGGGTCTTGTGTGGATCTGTGTTCACTTGGTAGAAGATAGCTGAGATCCACTCTCTTCCTGATCACCTAGGGGATTCCTTAATCCT